TCTATCTATCTATCTATCTATCTATCTATCTATCTATCTATCTATCTTTGATTGAGACAGGGTCTCATTATATAGCTCTGGCTGTCCTGGAACTCACTCTGTAGACAAGGCTGGCCTTGAACTCACAGAGATTTGCCTGCCTCTCTCTGCCTTCCAAGTGCTGGGATTAAAGGGATGCACCACTATGCCCAGCTGAGAAGACAATTTGAAAAGACATTATGCTATTCATCTTCTGAGCATACTATGAGTAATCAAATGATTCCAATTGTTGTTATTTTATGTTTCCTTCAAAGTGTTTAGTAGTATCCATATTGCTACAGTGATCTTGTGTGTGTGTGGTCTTTGTCCTCAGTTTCGATCATCTTCTTGGGATTCCTAGAAATGGATTACCACATTGAAGGGTGTGATATTTTATGGCTCATTATTGAAAGCTAATGGTGTATTTAGATGGGTTGTACCAGTTCACACCCTACACCACTGGTGTTTGAGGGTATTTTGTTTTTTCACATTAAATTTGCCATTAATATATTGTTGTCACTTAAGAAAATCTGTGCTAATCTGAAGCTAAAAGTGGCACTTTGCTTTTACGTGTCTGTCTTTGAATGTTAGTGAAGTTGCACTCTTTTTCCATGTAGGTTGTAAAAAACAAAAACTTGTTTTTGTTTCTTTTTGGTTAAATTCTCAGTTCAGATAGGGAGTTGTATGCCAAGCCACACAACTTTTCCTCTGTGGTGTGTGTGTGTGTTTACTTTGTTTTCTTTTATATATGTGAATGTTTTGTCTACACATATGTCAGTTCAACATCTGCATGCCTGGTGCCTTCAGAGGTGAGAGGAGGCATCAGATCCCCTGGGGCTGGAGTCCTGGATGGCCATGGGCCTCTGGTGATGTGTGTGTGTGTAGCTGAACCTGGGTCTTCTTAGAACAGCAAGTGCCCTTAACCACTGAACCATCTTTCCAGCCCTGATTTAATTTTTTTTTTAGGTTTTGTTTTGTTTTGGGGGGATAGGACCTCTCTGTGTAGTTCTGATTGACCCGGAATTTAACATGTAGACCAGGCTGGCCTTACACTCACAGAGCTCCGCCTGCCTCTTCCCACACCTAAGCTGTGACTAAAGGTTTGTTATCTTCACACTAGCTTTTGATTTGTACTTTTAAAAATCTCAGCCTTTCTTTTAAAGAACAGATAGCCATTTTTTCTCTTTAAAAAGTTCTCTCTGATCTGGTCCTTTGAATATTTGAAACTTATTTTACTGAATGGTGTGAGTGGGGCTCCGAGTCTGTCTTTCCTAGCTAGCTAATGCAGAACTTCTTCTCATGGATCCAGCTGCTTCTCCCCTGACACTTTTTGCCAAAGTTATCATAAAATAAATTTTTTCTTGTATTTTTGGACACGTTATAAAAATTTATTACTTGTTAATTAATTGCTTTAATGTTATGGTAGTTTTTTGTTTTTTGGTTTTTTTTCTTTTTCTTTTTCTTTTTTGAGACAGGGTTTCTCTGTATAGCTCTGTAGCTCTGGCTGTCCTGGGATACACTTTATAGACCAGGCTGGCCTTAAACTCAGAGGTCCACCAGCCTCTGCCTCAGGAATGTTGAGATTGAAGGCATGTACCACCATGTCCAACTTGGATAATATTTTGTACAAAACAAAAGTTGACACTTGGACTGAAAAAGTGAATTTTGTCCTTGTGTATGACTTTATTCTTAAATCACCCTTTAGTCATACAGTTGATGACTTTCTGTTTGAAAGCAAGCAGAAAGCCGAGTAACTACAGTATTCAGCCACTGTGAGCACCATTGTCCAGTGCTGGACCTGTGGACATCTTGTTTGTATAAGCTCAGGTTTGAATAAAACAGCTCAGTCAATATTTTTCTTGGCTTTTTACCAACAGTTTTGGCAAAACTCTGAATTGGTCACTGGGGTCATTAAGAAGTATTTCTGAGTTGTAGCTGTTGTAAACACTGCTGCATTTTTTCAGAATTGTGTATCAACACAAATGACTTCCTAGTTGTAGGAACGTGAGGTTGTTATTAGCATGCTTTTTTTTTTCTAAGCAATACTCTTGGATGTATGAGTCCATGGATAACTTGTCTGTTTTATGAGGAAGAAAATTCATATGTATATACATATACATATACATATACATATACATATACATATACATATATTTTGTTTTTTTCGAGACAGGGTTTCTCTGTGTGGCCCTGGCTGTCCTGGAACTCACTCTGTAGACCAGGCTGGCCTCGAACTCAGAAATCCACCTGCATCTGCCTCCCAAGTGCTGGGATTAAAGGCGTGCGCCACCACTACCCATCTTTTTTTTACTTTTTTTTTTTTTTGAGAAACTTTAAGTTTATTTGTTGGTTACAATTATTATTATTATTTAATTGAAAAATCTCATTCAATGTCCAATTTGATTTGTAATTTTTCCTATTCTTTCTTTTTCCTTTTTCTCTTTCTTTTTAAAGACATGGTCTCGCCATGGTCATTGAGTGACATGGAACTAGCTCAGTAGATTAGACTGGCCTTGAATTTGTAGAAATCTGCCTGCTTCTGTCTCCTGAGTCCTGAGATTAAAATGTACACCACCCCAGCCCTGATTTGTCTTTTGAATGGCATTTCTCCTGGTGAGGTCAAACAGCTTTCCTCATGGTTCCTGGTACTCGTATTTCTTTTGGGGTAAGCCTAATAGTCTGTGGTTTATTACTGTTGTTGTTGGTTTCAGACAGGTCTCTCTGTGGCCCAGGCTGGCCTTGACTCTCTGCTGATAGTCTTGCTTCAGCCTCCTGAGTGCTGGGATAGCAGACAAAAACATCCATGTCTAGCTGTAAATACAATTTTGAAATATGACATTTATCTGTACTGTAGTCAGATAAAATTAGCAAAATCATCTCAGTATCTTTATTTGTGATATTTATACTCAGGAAAATGTGAATATTTTGGCAATCGATTCTTTTTAGCCTGAAATCATTGGTGATTCCTTGGCAGTCAGTCTCCCTGTCTTCTGCTTGCTCTTTGAAGGTTGGCTTCCACCCAAAAGCCTCTTCTCATCTTAACCAGCTCTGTGGCATCTTTCTCCACCACATTCTGATGGCTCCTGGTTCTTTACCTGCCTCCCAGACCTAACCTGGATGAAGAACACACATCCAGCTGCTTTTCAGACAGCTCTGCTTAAATGTCCCACAAGAATCTCAAAACCATTGTGCCTCAACAAAAGCTCATCATCTTCCTCCAAGTCCTCCAAACCTGCTCCTTGCCCAGCTGGGTTCAGAGTACTGTTCATCCCCAGGCATCCACGCCGGAGCCAGCAGCCCGCTGTCTTTGGTCTTCCCACCACATCTTGTAATAAATCAGGTTTTCCTGATGATGAGCTGCAACTTTTGTTGTTTCTTTTTTGGGGATCCTTCTAGTGCCTTTTCCTCTGGATTCCAGAACCATTCCTTCTGGTGACAATGCTTCTGCCAAGGTGCTCTGCAAGTGTTCAGGTGTGCAGCTGCTGCCAACATCTTAGGTCAAACCTGACCTCTTAAATCCACATCTGCCCCTTGGATGTCCAAGGACGCTGAAACATGACAATCATAGGATCCTATATGCCCAACAGAGAGTAGTAAGGGGCAA